TGACGTCATAACGCATGACGTGTGACTTACGTCAGCGCTTTTGATGACGATTGACTGACGTCAGCACAGGGGTCCCATTTGACCTCTTCGTGTCTTCTGCGCGCCTGGTACTTGACAGCATTGACGTCATCATCTCTGATGACGTGTTTTATTCACTTCGATTAACTGACGCCATAGTTGTATCTTACTAACCCAATAAGGACGGATCGTATGTGATCTCCGCGTGTTTTCTGCGCGCCTGGTATCCGTTTCTAGAGAGTGGCGCGTGCAGCATCGAAGTGGGATCATACGCGTTGACAGTGGGGGAGCCACCGCCACGGGATGCCCTCATATCTTGCAATACACCAGCACGGCCACCTTTGCTGTGTCGAGCTGATAGTTTCCGCAATTCTAAGGACATAGAAGCAATAGTTTCAAACTCCAAATACAAACAGAAATATAATATAAAGCAAATGTTTGGGTGGATGGTTGTTTGAAGACATCTCCAGAATCGCTGAACGGATCTTGTTGCAATTTGGCACGCATATAGAAACATTTTAAATAACATAGACTACCAATTATGTTTTTTAATTCCGAGCAGACGGAGTCGCGGGAGACAGATATATTTTTTTATGCAATAAACGACATCAAAATACTCCAAAGTTGTACTCCATTTGCTCAGGAACGGGATGAATGTCGTGTCGTGTCGTATCGTATCGTTGTTACCTCTATCCCTTGTCCTGCGTATAATCTCAACTTTCCTATCCATCTCTTTCTTCTTCTCATGCCAGAGCTTCGCCAACTTGTTACTGACGCGACTCGTGCGACGACGCCGCTGCTCAGTCTGCAGTCGATGCAGCAGCACCAGCCGGATATCTTGCAGCTCATCTATCTCCTACAAAAAACAATTACACTCAGACACTGAATTCTATTAATGGAGTGGCTATAAGATGTATTATTTTGTGCCTATTTCATTTACGCCATTTTGGCGCTGATTGTAACGGTTTGTAGCGGTGGTGAGGATTGGAATTAATAATATAGATAGAATTAATTGTCATGTCACATCAACAGGCGCGTTAAAATCGTAACGAAAGAAAAGCTGTGAGTTCCAAGTATCGTAACTAACAAAATGACTCGAGAATATAAATTCTCGAGTCATAATGTTAGTTACGATACTCCTCCGTAAAGGCTTCACCGATTTTAATGAAATTTTATATGTATATTTATTTAGTAGCTCTGAGAATCGGCTATTTTTTTAATCCCGCGCGGACAGAGTCAGGGGCGGCAGCTACTTTTTGTTGTATTTTAAAAATAGAATCTTCTTACAGCTTCTCTAAATATCCAATCCTTTGTCTCAACATCTTTAATGATGTCGTCTCGTTTCTTCATCCAGCCGGGGAACTGACCTTTGTCGACCAATTCCATCCATTTCCTTGCATGACGCATCCTGAAGAGAATTTAATGGATATAAAACATTTAATTCGAACTTAATTAGTCCTGGAATGGCGGAAACGGACAGGTCGATGCGAGGGCAGACCTGGATAAGATGGACTGATGATCTAGTTAAGGTTTCAGGAGTATCCTGGATGCGAATAGCACAGGACTAACAGTGGCGATCGTTGCAGGAGACCTATACCCTGCATTAAGCATCATACGACTGTAGAGAGAGAGAGAGGAGACTACTTAGTTCTAGGTAAAACGGCGGTCTTTTCGACCTGCCGTATAAGATGAGTATACACTTACTTGTTTATAATTTCTGTTGTGTGGAAATCAGCTGGTAAATCGCCCTGACGATACGGATGTCCTGGACCTAAGTAAAGAAGTATATAAACAATTCTTTTTACACTTCATCATCACCAGTTCACTATACGTCCCCACCGAGGAGCTCGTAGCCTACCGGCTTTACCGATATGCCTAAAATTTGGTGAGCAGGTAGCTTAGAGCCAGGAGACGGGCATAGGATAATATATATTCATTTTTTTTTCGAAATTATACCTTGAAGAGCTGCTTTTTATTTAACTTACTAATTTTATAAATGCGAATGTTTAGATGGATGTGATGTGGATGGACGGGTAGGTGTTGAAGATATCTCTGGATTGGCTGAACGGATCTCGATTAAATTTGGCATACGTACAGAAAATAGTCTCATACGTATAGAAAGAACACATAACCTACACTAATTAAGTTTTTATATATACACGCGGACGGAGTCACGGGCGACAGCTAGTAATATTATAAGACTAAAGCGAAATTGTGGCAATCGATGGGAGAGGCCTACGTCCAGCAGTGGACACATTTAGGCTGATTATGATGATGAAAGCGAATTTTAATTTGATTTTGCTTGCTCTTTACCCCATTGTAGTTTATCAAGAAACAAAACTTCAGGTGTTGTCTCGCAATCCTCAGCAGGCCGAGCTTCAGCCTGCCACGGTATCGTCTGAGCTGATGACTCTCTGTATACAAATTTGTTTATCATTTCTGGTAGCGAACTGGTTTGAATTAACCACAAAAAGCTTTCGACATCGAAAAAAAAACTCATTTTGATGACTGTATTTGATTGAGCTTCTCAAAGGTGAACATTCATTGATAATTCCAACAAACATTTTTTTATATCATAAGGTGGCAGACGAGCAAGCGGCCACTTGAAATCGCTGAAATAGCGAAGTGACCGTTGCCCATAGACATACGCAATTGCATATGCGTTGCATACCTTTAATCTACGGAGGAGAGGATGCACGGAAAGAAAATATTTTCCCTTCCCATGCATCCCCTCTTCAGGAAAGTTCACTTCCACTTCCCACCTTCCCTTATAAGAAAAAGGGTGGGAAGAGAAAGAGGACTAAATTAGGCCTCTGGGACGCACACTCATCAGACGAAATGCGGAATTTCATCCATTTGACGCCTGTCTTCTGTGTGGTCGTGGTATTTCACCGGGCCAATTCGTGCGAAGATGTTACTACGAGCTCTACCACTGTTAAACAAATTGAATTATTACCGATTCTAAAGAGCCCCGAACATATTCAACAAAATTATATAGTACTTAAGTATTACTTTGATTTGAAAGATCTATTACCTTAATTATCAGTTATTTATACGACTTTTTATCTTCACCTGTACAAACTCTGGGTGCCCTTGTTCTTCGGTCGACCGCCATATTTGGACGGGCAATACGGAGTCGGCGGCTTGAAGTCTGGTGTTGCACTTTTTAATTGTAAAGCAATTTTTTTAGGTCTAGAAAACAAATAAAATAGGTCCTTTCAAGTATTAATAATATTTATTGCAATTATTGATTCCCTACTCACGCTTGTAAACAAAAAAGGAAATCTCTTACCAAATGCTTAAAAGATGCATCTGTCAGAAAAGGCCCGACAGGAATATTGAGTAAACATTTGAAAATACCCATCGGCTTTCTAAAAGTTAAGTATCAGTCTGGTACTCACACAGCACAAAATGTGAAGTAATACTTCCCAGAATTTGGATCCGGAAGGGGAATAGACCTCGCCTCTTTCTGTCTATCTTGATATGCATCGTAGGAACAGTCTACGTGGCTTGGTAGACGGCAGTTAGGATGGTACACTGTAAAGAAACGAAAAGTCAGGAGGAGTAAAAGGGGTGAAGTAAGGTTGAAAGCCTGTTGTACACATACAAATGTAAATCTTCGTCGGCGATTTTAGTGGCTAAGGTATAAAATGACTAATACAATGACAGGTTTGTACACAACGCGCGTTGCCGACCTTTGTATCTGTTATCGCCTAAGCTAGTCGCTCGCAACCTGGTTGTCATCGTCTTGAGTGTATAGAGCAAATGTACAGTTGAAATAGTCGTTATGCCTGTACTAATCGATGTTTTAAACGAGAATTTTCGTCTCAGAAACCCCTAGTATTTCTACTATAAAGAAAACATAACACTTACCAACTTCAACTCTTGGGAACTCTCTCAATTCAGAAAACATAGTACTGTATACTGGATGGACGCTCTGAAAAAAAAAATAGTAAGTTTCAATCTTCAAAATAAATTATTTTGTATGTTGGCACGAGGTATTCGAGCATTAAGGGAAGACTCCCATCACCACAAAGCTACCCTTTGATATGTTGACTGTACAACGCGACATACGACAGTTTCAAGACGAACAGTAACGCAAGAAGTGTAGCGGAGATGCAGGCCTGCATCCACCAACATGTACGTACTGCAACTGTCGCCAGACTGTCGGATCGCACCCCTTCTCAATCGAGCATTCCTACCATTGACATATCTAGTCAAATCTATGTCCATTCACCGCTTCGTACCAATGACATTCTTTTATTTAATAAATTGACCTCCAATATAAGTTGGGCCATAACATTGACTCCTCATATTAAAATGTTGATGAAGATTTAAACATGACTCGTGATCAGCTGTGTGTTTGTTAGTTAACTTACTACTTGTGCGGAGCTCATGGCGGCTCTAAACGCCGCTCTTGCGTAGTCCCGAGCACCAGACACAACGTACGACGTATCTGGATATTAGAGAATAAATTCAATATTAAGTATTCAAAGATAATTTACGGTTTGGGTGGTGTTGTTAATATAGAATAGAGAGAGGTAAATATTTCTAGATATTTATCTGTCTAGACTTTTTTGTAAGAATTGGCTGGATGTGATGGCGGGAAAATTAATGGTAGACAAATTCAACAAGAAATGTAACAACAGAGAGCATGGGTATCGACAGTCAGATGATTAGGCTAGTTTTAATAGGGGCAACTCTCCCTTTTTTTGTATCTAACTAGCTGTCGCCCTCTACTCTGTGCGCACGGAATTAAACAAAACGTAAGTAGTTGCGTATGTGTTCTTCCAGACTATGTTCTATATGTATGACAAATTTCATCGAAATCTATTCAGCAGTTCTGGAGATATCTTCTAACAAACATTAATTTATCTAAACATTCGCATTTATATTAGTAAGATTAAATTTTAGTTCATTCTTACCAAATAAATAATCATGTGCACGCATTTTGGTGACATTGCATTTTCTCCTGACTTCGTATATTGTATCTCCACTCATTTTTATAAAAATATAAAGTAATAATTTATTTTATCTGATAATGGTGTATTGATTAATCACGTTGCTTAGCAACGCAATAACAATTTGACGCAGCAAAGGACGTGAAATAGCAATAACTAAAAATTTTTTCCAAAAAGTAGGCTTCCGATACCGGGAATCGAACCCGAGCCTCCTGGGTGAGAGCCAGGTATCCTAGCCACTAGACCATATCGGATGTTGAATGATTTACAAAAATAACAATGACATATTTAATAAATTATCTTTTTTAGATATAAATATAATACGATGCAAACTAAAGTTTTGGTATTCATGCTTTTTAAACCTAATACAAAGACATTTTATAAAGATTTAAAGTCAATAAACGATTCTACCATTGACATGGTAGCATTTTATTTTATATGGCAACATTTCTGCTCAACTGACAGTTGAATTTTTTATTTATCGATCGTTTACATTTGCTTCAAAGGTTATGTTTTACTTTTGAAAGTTTAATAAATTATTAACTATCCAAAAACAGTTTTTGAATGTTTTGTTATTAAAACTAACACCACCATGTCTGATAACGAAGAGCCATCAGCTAAACATTTCAAATTACAGGTAAAAACAATTAAATTATATAAAGGTAATATAGCTCTTCCATGTTAAATAAAACAAGCCGGTTTCTAATTTAATAAAGTTAGAATTCGATTTGTATTCTTCTCCTGGGTGTCTTAAGATATAGTCGTTTGGGTTTTTCTACAAATAGTGTTATTTATAATGTGTTACAGTCTGAAAAGCAGGAGCCAGAAGATGCTATGGAAGAGGGTCACGAGGAATGGCTCAGTGAGGATGTACTTAGCGAGGATGACTATTATCAAACTGTAAGTAGAATTAGTTACAATGTACATATGTAAATCGAAAAACATGGCCAAATATGGGTTGATAACAACTACTATCTTTCCAGGGTGAACAAGAACAGAGTGACTATGCAATAATGAGTCAAGATGACACAATGACAAGTGTACAGGAATGCGCAGAGAACTCCGTGTACCATGATACAGGAGACTCCAATGCTCAGGACGGACATGAAAGAGATCAAGAAGAGAATATAGAAGAGACATTGAATAATTTGGAGAACTCACAAGTAAGAACTTATATTTTTCATTACATAAGGTAAATAAGCAAACAACCTCCTAAAATTCCCCCTACAGTTGTAAAGTGGAAGAAATTCTGTGTTTTGTTTAATAAGTGTGCATGGTGTAGGACTACCTTTAGTCTTCTCCCCTTTTCACCTTTTTCTTATAAAGGATGGGAAGGGATTTGATATTTGTTGGAGAAAGACACATAGGAAGAAATAGTCTCAGTATGTCTCCTGTGTTGATTAAAGGTCGGCAATGCATCTTCAAATGGAGAAGTCTATGGGCAGCAGTCACTTTGCTATTTCAGCAAATGCTATGGTAGCTTCCTCTTTTGCCACCAAATGATACAAAACATAATAATATGAAAGCAACCTCTGTCAAAAGACATCCATATACTACACTAGCTGTCGCCCGCAACTCTGTTCGGGTAGAATTAAAAAAACTTAATGACTAGCAGTATAGTAGTACGTACTACATAGTCTGGAAGAACACATGTTCTTCCAGAGTATGTTCTATATATATGCCAAATTATATCAAGATCCATTTAATCTGGAGATATCTCCAAATAAACATACATCTAAACATTCGCATTTACAATATTTGTAAGATATACTATCAACAATGATATTCATATTTATAAAAACTTGTTGAACAACATGTTTGATTGCATTTCGTTTCAGGATAAAGACTTTCCAGATGAATTAGGTGCATTCTTGATAAGGAAGACAGACGGGAAACCGATAAAGAAGGAAACAGAAGAGAGAGAAAGTGAAATGGGCTCAAACAGACATACAGACGATGATGGCCATGATACTGATGAATTACTGGTATGTATACATATTACTTAATTATTAGAAGTAAATATAACTTAGTTAGTAGCCTATGTGTTCTTCCAGACTATGTTCTATATGTATGACAAATTTCATCAAGATCTATTCACCCGTTCTGGAGATATCTTGTATCAATCCATTTATCTAAACTTTCCAAGTCTTAGCTTCACCATTAAGAGTGAGAAACTTGAGTTAGTGCCTAGTACCTCTATAAGCGAGAAAAATATTGCACACTTGAATTCTCGCTTAACTAGGTCTGACTTTAATTCTTCAAAACTATGTTCTACGTCTATGACAAATTTCATCAAGATATGTTCGGCTCTTTTGGAGATACATTCGCATTTATAATTTAGTGAGTTAAATATAAAGCAGCTCTTCAAATGAATAAATAGTATCCTATGTCCGTCTCCTGTCTCTAAGTTTCCTCCTCGCAAATTTTATTTTTATATTTATATAGTAAGAAGTTTATTTTTGTTGTAACAGAGAATGCTCGGTGAAGATGAAGCTAAACGTAAGAAAAAACCTGGAATAAAACTAATTAAGAAAGAACCTAAAGAGGAATCAAGTGATGAAGATGATGATTTTATATTTGGGGTAAGTTTTGACTATAAATTGAATGACATGTTAGTGGTATATTGTTTTCAAATTAAAGGCATTAACTAATTTAACTCGTAAATAGAGAAACGTCAAATTTCATACATGGCGGCCATTTTTAAATATTTTATTTAGAAGTATTATTTTGATTATAGTATATTTAGGATACAGAGAATGTTTAGTAAGAAAATGTGATTTTTCTGGAAATATTTAGGAAATTCAGCCATATTTTTGCACTACTAATTTTCAAATAAAGGAATTTATTTATTATAAAACTAACGATTCCGTCTAAAACTATGTATGTCAAATTTCATCAAGATCTGTTGATCTGTTCTGGAGATACTTTCAAACATCCATCTAAACATTCGCATTTATAATATTAGTAAGTTAAATAAAAAGCAGCTCTTCAAGGCATTAATTCGAAAAAAAAAATGAATAAATAGTATCCTATGTCCGTCTCCTGGCTCTAAGCTACCTCCTCACCAATTTTCAGGCATATCGGTAAAGCCGTTCTTGAGTTATAAATAGTGTAACTAACACCACTTTCTTTTATATATATATCCTTATATGATGTGAGTCGGTGAGTCAGGGGTTAAGCTTGGCTTGTAAACAGGTCTTGGGTTCGAATCCCGCCATGTACCAATGTGTTTTTCCATTTCCGATTTACATATGTACATTTATCCGACGTTATGATGAAGGAAAACATCGTGATGCTGCACATATCTGAGAAGTTCAAAGATATGTGTGAAGTCACCCCACACTTAGTCAGCGTGGTTGACTATGGCCTAATCACCCTTAACTTAGGGTAGGCTCCGAGCCCCTCGGTGGGGATGTAGTGAGCTGATGATGACTGATTTTTATAAATATATTTTAGAGTACAAAAGTAACAAGAGTGAAAGTAGCAAAAAATTACATAAAGAAATACGCAACTAAAGCTGAACCTGAAGACATGAGTGATAAAGACGAGGTAAGTTGTAAACTGTATTTTTGAGCTTCCATTGTATTATAGACCAATGGTTCCCAAACTTATTTTGTCTACTGTCCACTTTGAGAATAAATATATTTTTAACGCCCCCATATTTTCACATATTTAAAAACCACTATAACTTCAAATTAAATTAATTAATTACTGTGACTTATATATGTATATTAACGGAGAATTGTAAAGGAAACTTTTACTATAACCCGCAACTTGAGACCTGCAGCGCCCACAAGGGGGCGTTATCGCACACTCTGGGCAAGACTGATGTAGATCAATCTAAACCAAGTCCACGCTAAATAAAAAAAAAAGTAGTCTATACAGGGTGTCCCAAAAGGTTAGGTACATAGGAAGGGGGATGATAGGGGTGGTCACAAGGGTCACCAGAAAAATAAAATAAAAATTCCCCTCTGGGTATTAAAATAAATAAAGGGCATTTTTTAAAAACTTAAAAATTTTACACCTTCTGGGGCAATTTTAATTTTCTTTAAAATCTTTGTTAGTTATATGGTTTTTTTTTATTTCATATTGATAAAGGGTTATTGACGATAACATAATAGTTTTTTTTTTTTTAAATATAGCAATATTTGTAGGTCATCGGTTACAAAATTGTCCCAGAAGGTGTAAAATTTTTAAGTTTTAAAAAAATGCCATTTATTTTGTTTAATACCCAGAGGGGAATTTTTATTTTATTTTTCTGGTGACCCTTGTGACCACCCCTATCATCCCCCTTCCTATGTACGTAACCTTTTGGGACATCCTGTATATCCTTCCAGACTATGTTCTATATGTATGTCAAATATGATCAAAATCTATTGAACCTGTCCGGAGATACATTCAAACAAACATACATCTAAACATTCGCATTTATAATATAAGTAAGATATAAAATGTTATTCAACAGTTGTCAGACGAAGTAGCAACTATGAAAAGTATGTTTGTAAGTCGACGGCCCCCCGCAGCCCTGGGCCCTCGCCCCCGACACGTGGCTTCCAAGAGTACTACACTTGGAGGCATCAACGCGTTACAAACGGTCACTAAACGCGTCGTCAGTCTCGACGGGAATACTAGTAAGTATAATAAGTAGGGTTTTTATTACTACCTACTATGATCTATCACTGACCTCTATAAATATCGCTGTAGTGCGCGACTACGTCCAGATATAAAAAAAAATAGCCTATGTGTTCTTCCAGATTATGTTTTACATCTGTGTAAAATTTCATCAAAATCCGTTGATTCGTTTCGGAGATACCTTCAAACAAACATCCATCCATTAAAACTTTCGCATTTATAATATTAGTAAGATGAAGACTCTCTTTTATAGAGGTTTCTCACTGACCGAAGTTTCTCCTTTATAGAGGTTCCTCACAAACCCAAGTTTCTCCTTTATAGAGGTTCCTCACAAACCCAAGTTTCTCTTTTATAGAGGTTTCTCACTAATCAGAGTTTCTCTTTTATAGAGGTTTCTCACTAATCAGAGTTTCTCTTTTATAGAGGTTTCTCACTAAGCAGAGTTTCTCTTTTATAGAGGTTTCTCACTAAGCAGAGTTTCACTTTTATAGAGGTTTCTCACTGACCAAAGTTTCTCCTTTATAGAGGTTTCTAACTGACCAAAGTTTCTCCTTTATAGAGGTTCCTCACAAACCCAAGTTTCTCTTTTATAGAGGTTTCTCACTAACCAGAGTTTCTCTTTTATTGAGGTTTCTCATTGACCAAAGTTTCTATTTTATAGAGATTCCTTAATAACCAGAGTTTCTCGTTTACATTTTATTTTATTTAAGTCTGAGTTAATTTAATATCTTTATAATATTTTAGACAAACGTCCTATGCCCCCAACGTCTCATAGGCAAGTAATATTGAAACAGGTGAGTAAAGAAGAGTCGAAGAGAGACAGACAGAGTGCGAAAGAGACTGAGGAGATAATAAATGAGGAGGAGTTTCTAGATGAAGATGAATTTGATCTGGATGAAGTTGGGGTGAGTTGTTAGTGTGGGATTTCATTGCAGGAATTATCAGACTAATTTCTTGTGTTACAAGTTGTTGCCCGCGACTCTGTCTGTGCGGTTATAAAACTTATTAGACTATGTTCTACTTTCAGCCAGATTCATGCAAAAGTTCTGGAAATACCTTCTAATATTCATCTAAACATTCGCATTTATAATATTAGTAGTGATTATTTCCAGGAGTTGGAGACGGATGATGAGGAAGGTCCAAGTCGTCAGAAGACGCGGCAGAAGATCATGAGGCCGGAGAGGATGGATGAGGAGGTGCCTTCTGATGGAGAGAGCAATTCTGATGAAAGCTTATACGATGTAAGTATAATTATTAAATTGAAATCCGTAGTATTAGAGTTAGGCAATGCATTTACAATTGTATAAGTCTATGGGTGAAGCTTCGCCATTTTAGCGAATTTTTTTATATTATAAGGTGGCAAACGAGCGAGCGGTCACATGAAATCGCTGAAATAGCGAAGTGACCGTTGCCCATAGACATACGCAATTGCATATGCGTTGCCTACCTTTAATCAACGGAGGAGAGGATGCACAGAAAGAAAATATCTTCCCTTTCCATGCATCCTCTCATCCGGAAAGTCAATTTTCACTTCCCATCCTTTCCTTATAAGGAAAAGGATGGGAAGGAAAAGAGGACTAACTTATGCCTCCGGGACGCACACTCATCAGCGTGTAGTTGGAATAGTTTCCACTTGAGGCGTGTCTTCTGTGTGGTCGTGGTATTTCACCGGACGAGTCGGGACAATTCCTGCGAACATGTTAAAGCTCGCTCTACCACTGTTGATAATTCATTCTTCCATCATCTATCAGGAGATCCAGTCTTCAGAGTCAGAGGATCTGGACGAGTGGTTCACATTGGATATCAGAGCGGAACGTGCAGGAGATTATTTGCCCTTGTTAGGTAATGTTTATTTTATTTACATTGTTTGAATACATAAATATATATGGATTGGTTGGATGGATGGATTCTATGATTTTATCGTGTTTTTTTTATTTTATATTAGCTGTGTGAATGTACGGAAGTAAAAAACTTAATAAGTAGTCTATGTGTTCTTCCAGACTATGTTCTATGTCAGTGTTTCCCAAAGTGGACGATAATGTGGGCTTGTGGGTGCTGCAGGTCTCAAGGGGGACGGTAAGAGACCCAGAAAGAAAATGGTGGCGTTGTGTAGAGGCCTGAAGGATGATTTGTAATGTTATTTAGCTAGGAGTCCTCTTAGACAACGACTGCATCAACTCTCGACTCTCAACAAATTGTGAACATCAACTAATATTCATTAAAAGATTGCTTAAACTCTTATATGGAGGCGCTGAAAATATTTATTCACAAAGTGGGCAGTAGACAAAAGTTTGGGAACCACTGATGTATATACAGCGAGCTTTCAGCGAGATCTATTCAGCTGTTCTGGAGATAACAAACATCTAGACATTCGCATTTATAATATTAGTAAGATTTTTATATTATAGAAATCTTGGATGTATGGATGTATGTTAGAAGATATCTCCAGAACGACTCAATGGATCTTGATGAAATTTGTCATACATATAGAACATAGTCTGGAAGAACACATAGACTACGAAATAAGTTTTTTTTTTAATTACTAATTATATTTCTATTGTAACTTCTTTAGTTTAATTGTTTATTTTTTAAAATTAATTAACATATAGGTTCAAAAGCAAAGCAGTTATTGATAAAGGAACGTAATCGTGTTGGCGCCCGTCTCGCCACACTGGACCAGAGTCTACTGGCGCTGCGCGACACTGGACGACAGCAGGCGATCCAGTTGCGTCGCGCGACCGCAGCACTACACCATATTGATAACGCGCTTAGAGCTCTCTGATTCTATCATCATCATCAGCTCACTATACGTCCCCACTGAGGGGCTCGGAACCTACCCTAAGTTAAGGGTGATTATACCTTAGTCAACCACGCTGGCCAAGTGCAGTGACTTCACACATATCTTTGAATTTCTCAGATATGTGCAGCATCACGATGTTTTCCTTCATCATAACGTCGGATAAATGTACATATGTAAATCGGAAATGGAAAAACACATTAGTACATGGCGGGATTCGAACCCAGGACCTGCAGATTGCAAGTCAAGTGCTTGACCACTGAGCCACCGACGCTTCAGACTGGTCATAATAATATAAATACTAGCTGTTGTATGCGACTTCGTCCGTGTTAAATACTGTTTTTGAATCATTTTTAATTCATATACATTTATTTATCACATTTCTAATATAATACATTTCATATAAAAATATATATATATATATATATATACAAAACATATTATATTAAAAAGAGAACACCACCGGCTGCGGAATCCCATGACTCAAACAACCAGTGGTCAGGGCTGCAGAGACAGGAACCTTCTCACGATGCGCGCGGTTTCTAGGATAACTGCCTTTTGTATCGGGCCCTTAATCCAACTGTTTAGCGAGAGCTTCTTGAGATGTTGGTCGAAGCTCTTCGCTATCAATCTATTTACCGATACGACTATCGGAATAATGGTAGTCGATTTCATACGCCACATGGCGGTAACCTCGTGAGCCAAATCAAGGTATTTTAACACTTTTACCTTTTCAGCTTTCACGAGATTCTCGTCATGTGGAATAGTGACATCGACTAACATTACACAACTCTCAGACCGGTTTAATAATTATATAATCTTACTAATATTATAAATGCGAATGTTTAGATGTTTGTTAGAAAATCTCAAGAATTGATGCATCGATGTTCTTTTTTTTAGTGTAAAGCAGACGGAGTCGCGTGTGATGACTAGTATTTTATATAAGAAAAAAACTTGTAACTCTATTGACATCGTAAACAAAGATTATGTATGAATTCTGCCATCTTTATAATAAAAAATTATATCGCTTGTAATATTTGGTTTATTTGTCTTATTTAAATAAATCCCAGCTTGATATCTTCACGCGTTTTTAAGAAAAAGGGTCTTGACAGGCAGACGGACAACAAAGTGATCCTATAAGTGTTCCGTGTTTTTCCTATGAGATACGAAACCCTTAAAAACGTAATTTTTAGCTTTAAATAATTGGCACTTTTGTATTTGATGAATTATGGCATTAAATATATTTACTATCAATTTTTTTTCATTTAATGTGGGTTTCTAAGATCTTACAAATATATGCGAATGTTTAGATGGATGTTTGAATATGTCCAGAACGGCAAAACGGATTTTGATGAAATTTGGCATACATTTAGAACAGTCTGGAACGCATAGACTATTACGGCCATAAATTACGTGAGATGTTCAAGTGGGGGAGAGGATCGAGTCAAATCTCATCTAATCTTACGTTAGAGAGAGATCTCGGCAAATATCACGCATTTTTTTCTGACTGAAACAAAAAAAAAGGCAAAAACACGAAGCAAATATTTGGTTAAATAAAATCTCACGACATCTCACCATGCAGAAAATAAAAAAACACCTCACGTAATGTATGGTCGTCCTCTAATCTTTTTATAATTCCGCGCGTACGGAATCGCGGGCGATAACTAGTCTCTATATAAAACATATCCCTGTTATAATCTTTAACAAAATAGTGATAAAAATATTTTAAAAGGATATTTAGGTCTTAGAAACCCACACTTATCATATATAGCAAAGGTAAATTGATTTGCCAAATAAATTGTATTCATTGGATTATAGTAAATCACGTAAATATTAGTGAAATAGGGATAGTAGTCCTCTTTCCTTTCCTACCCTTTTTCTTTAACAAGGAAAGGATGGGAAGTGAAAGTGGACTTTCCGGATGAGAGGATACATGGAAAGGGAAAATATTTTCTTTCTGTGCATCTCCTCCGTCGATTGAAGGTAGGTAACGCATATACAATTGCGTATGTCTATGGGCAACGGTCACTTCGCTATTTCAGTGATTACAGGTGACCGCTCGTTTGCCACCTTATAATATAAAAAAACGCAAGTATGTATGGATTGTATGAAAGAGAATACGTAAGACAGAATTCAGATATAACAGCTGATAAATGTATGGAGGAATACAAACATTAGGGGAAAAAGATAAGTTGATGCCGAATTAGTAATTTGGTAGACGAAAAAAATAACGACATAAAACCTTTAAAAGCAAAGAGTACATGAGGTAATAAATAAAAAAACGAATAAAATATCTTAATAATAGATCCGTATATCCTTATGTTAATCTCACTTATAATTAGGACTAGGTTTATACCTAAAACATAAAAAAAAATCAATCCATTGAAAAAAAAATGTTAAAACGTCAATAGCCTAGTTAAGGGTATGACTATTGTCGTAAACCATATCCTAGCACAAGCTTACAGCTTAGTTGGAATGGTAAAAGAAATATTAGTAAATTTACCAAAAAAAAAACTGCTAATATTTTAAATTAAAAAAAAATCGCGTAAAAAAATCAAATACAGTAGACACAGATATATTTTATTTAATAAAGAAACATTGTATATTTACAATTTACATTAGTTTTATTTTTTATCTATACATAATCTATATTAAACTGGAAAGCAGTCTTACGGACATAACGACCACTTCAATTTTAACAATGATAGCAACACTGCGGTACTGTCAACCACTAACCTCTATACATGGACAGGCTATAGACCATAATATTTTGTGCCTATTTGATATACGTCAAAATGGCGCTGACGGTTGCGGTTTGTAACGGTGGTGAGAATTGGAACTAAATATATAGATAGCGTTAACTGTCAGGAACTTCAACAGACACATTTAAATCGGAACAATGACCTATCCATTTATAGAGATAAGTGCTTACTGTCAGACATCTAGATAAACATATTGTCGTCTCTTTCACTCAGTATGTAGAAAGAGAGAACAAATGTCTAGTGTCAAGACAGTCGAATTTAATGATTTTGTGATGCTATCTAGACAAAATAAAAAAAAATAAAGACAAATTCATAAATAATAAAGAAATACTGATTTATGTAAACAAAAGTACATTTTACCGTGGATTTCCGAGACCAAAATCTGCGACAAAACAGAGTATGTTAACGGGGATTTTCGTCTAAGAAATCCACGGTATTTTTCCGTGGCATTTTACTAGAAAATAATAATAACTACATTTAAGTTTAAACTTACAATCAAACTTGGATAAGCGAGAAACTCTGCGTTAGTCAAAGTGCATTCGCCCCGAAGCGATTCAACAACATTCAAAAATATATAGAACTGACATTAACTTTGGATAAGTGACGTGATTGTCGCGACACAATTACATACATTTTTGAAGTTCGCTATTGAATTTTCAAAGCGAATGCACTTTGTCTAACACATCTAGTTACAGACAACCTTTAAACCAGTCTTTCCCAAAGTGGTCGATAACGCCCCCTTGTGGGCGCTGCAGGTCTCAAGTTGCGGGTTATAGTAAAAGTTTCCTTTACAATTCTCCGTTAATATACATATATAGGTCACCATAATTAATTAATTTAATTTGAAGTTATAGTGGTTTTTAAATATGTGAAAATATGGGGGCGCTAAAAAAATATTTATTCTCAAAGTGGGTAGTAGACAAAATAAGTTTGAAAACCACTGTTTTAAAGTATAAAAATTGCGGTTTAAAATCTCGCATATGCAAATTCGATTGTATTTCCAAAACGTAGCTGCCGAAACACAACCAATTTTGATATTAAATTAAGATTTTTAATATAAATATTAGAAAATATTTGCACCATATGATCAAAATCTCGTATTACACCTTTGGGTTAAAAGTTTCAACAACCATTTGACGAAAGATGTCATATCTTGACAACCCTAGTCACCCCTAACTAAGGGTAAACTCCGAGTCCCTCAGTGTGAAGTGTTGTGAGCCGATCTTGAAATGTAACTCTTTTTAAATTATTCAAAATTTCGTGAGACATTATACTAAACTGATATATAAACACGGCTAAACACTCACGTATATACGTCCGGTGACACCGACTAGTTTCGAGCACATCGGGGGCCCTTTATCAGGATGAGTGGTACTGGTATTATTTCGCGGACGCGGCCCTCAGCTCACATCCTCGTCCACGTCGCTTCATCCTGGTGAAGGGCCCCCGATGGGCTCGAAACTAGTCGGTGTCACCGGACGTATATACGTGAGTGTTTAGCCGTGTTTATATAACAGTTTAGTAACTCTTTTTGTTTATGGATTATTTTCGTTTGCAAATTTGTCTTTATTTTCCTCTTTGTCTACGACCTAATGTTAATTATATTATACATTATTTTTATAACCTTAAAAGTTCACTTTATTTTCACTATTTTTTTACAACTATTAGTTTTTTGTAGATTGTGTTTTTTTTTATAAATTAAAATTAAAAATCCGCCTATTTCATGACTTTTAAATAAAGGACAAAATTCATTTACACCCTAAGAATGGTATTCGTTTAAAAAAAAATAAAAAAACCTAAACTAACGAAAAAAAAAACCTAATTAAATTAAAAAAAAGCCAAATATTTACATAAACGATTCGACGGAGCGGTATTTAGTGGATATTTAAAAAAAGAAAAAGCTAAAAATGTTGCCAGTTAACAGAAGCATAAATAAAAAAGTTTTAATAGTCAAACTCTCGTTTCGATTGAAAGTTAAAATTAAACAGAGACGCATCCAATTTCCTAAAATGGCGACCATTAATAAAAAAAATTTCCAGTTATTTTTTGAAAATCGAGACAAATAATAAAGTAATATTTTAAAATAATGATAGCTTATATAATACAGTTATGTAAAAAAAGATTTTAGAGTTTCTATATAAGTACAAAGAGTATGTAACGTGTAGGCTTTTGTAGATTCGAGAAATATTTAACATTTCCACTATTTTTAATTAAAAAAAAAACTTTTAAATAACAATTTTACTATGATTTTATCAAATACTATTGTTTCGATTTAAGTAACTAACAATGGT